TTTGATTGCCTAGAGTTAACTGTTCACATAAAAGAATTGGGCATCTAAGACATGCCTGAAGGGCCCTGGGTTGTAGTCACTTTTATATTGTAAAATAAAAACTTTTCTTTTTTTTCAAGCAATCACAAAACTGGCTCCCCAACAAAATGAGACAGGTTAGATGAGTCCACCAACACCTTCTCCACTTTTACTGCTTTTTTTCTTTTAACAGAAGTCCACGTTCTGCGAACAGCCATTTTTCTTTTAGCTGTTTTGACCATCTGGACCTTTTCAGTATCTTCATCTTATCATTAGAAACAAATCAAAGGAGTTTAAATAAGTATAACATCTCCCTTACTAAACGAGCTTTATTGCAGGATTTTGATTTTAGGTAGGCAACGAAGGTCTAAGACATTATGCAAAAGGAATGTCCTCAGAGTAAACATAAAATGTTTTATCATCGTGTTAATTTCTAATTTCTGCCAGCAACAACAAAATTAATGCAGTATCCTACTTTCTAATGCAGTAACTATACATTAAACAGTATAACTAATCACTGGCATGTAGCTTTGTGAACAACGTTGATACCTGTATATCCCTTGGCTTGTCATCAGTCGAAACTGTGTTAGTCTGAGCACAGGCAGCCCCTTGTCGCACAAGTTGGAGAGCGATTAGCAACATGAGGAATTATCAACCGCATAGTCTTAATGGAGAGCAATCTGAAACATGAGGTCAGCCGTATAGTCTTAATTCACTATATGCAAAACTTGTCATTCCCTTGAGTCATTGGACACAAACTCCAAGTTTTAATTCATTTTGATCTCATATATCTGAGATCAAAAAGTTAATCATTTACATAAAAATTTAAACTACCCTTCCCTATGCATCAGTAACTAAAATATCAATAAAACGAGTTAAATTAGTAAACAAACACATGAACCAAAATATAAAGTTCAAATTTTATATAAATTTTCATTGTCCAAAATACAAATCAGTCAAAAACAAATAACTGAGATGAACTCATTCAATAAGTTGATGCTGTTGATCCACTTCGTCATTCTACACATTGTCTCCCACTTCGGGACCCCCAACAACCTCAACTTCATCCTCGTCAACAGGACGAACTCATAGTCAGACCTTGGTGGGAAAATGGTGCCTCCATTCTCATCTCGATCCCATTTGAGTGTCACCTTAGGCCAGAAATCAGCAATCTGGCGCTAACCATTTTCCTCCACCCCCTCCTCCTAAGGTTGAAATGTGATGCTGCTAACATCCACCTCGGGATGTTGTGCCTTCACCTTTTTCTTGCAATTGCTGAAGGCCAACACCATAGCAGGAAGGCCATAGAGGTCCACGATATTGGAAAACATGCTAGACTTGACGAACTTAGACATGTGAATCTCCATGGAATTATGGATTCGCAGCTCAACATCTCATTGCAGTTCTTCAACTTTCTTCCCCATCCCAGCAATTTGCTTGTCCCTCTTGGAAAGAGTTTCTTCACAAACTATTCTCTTTCAATCTGCAAGCTTGGCAGCCTTCTTCAACGTGGCAGCTTCATCTCGGAGCTTATCCAACTCCAAGGTTAAGCTTTCCACATTTTTCTTGGCCTCCTCCTCCTGCTTGCTGAGTTCCTCCTTCTCTTTCACCATTTTATTTCTTTCCTTTAGGGAGTCCAAGTAGTTGTTTGCCAAAGCATTAACAAGATTGGCTCCCTACATAAATTACCGAAGTTAAAATAAAAAAAAAAAAACCAAAGTTCAAAACTTATACCAACGAACTCCTTACCTCAAGGATGTGGTGAACTACCCCAACTCCTCCATGGAGATCTACCTCGTCCCTTGCCTGAATTAGATCCATTTCGGGAAACATGGCGTCAATGAAACGCCTAACAACTGTTCTGCTGGAAGAAGTTGCGAAGCTATAACCCTCAGGATACTGAAGCCGAGTTGGGAAGCTTTTTCCCCTCCCATGTGTTACAACCCCAACCTCCCTAACAGCATGATTAACAGCCACTGGGGGAGGACAAGGTATGAACTTAGGAGCCTCCTCTTGCTGCTGCTGCTCCTCCTCCAGCCCGCGCTTCTTCTGAGCTGCAGACTCATCTTCAGCTCTTTTCCTGACAAGCTCAATAGTCGGCCTCGCAGCTTGATCCACGCAAGTGCCAACCGTTGGAGCTCAAGTTGAGGTTGCACCTGGCTGAGTCGGTAAAGAAAATATTGTTTTTCTCAACCTGCTAGTCTCAACTTCTTTGCCCGATGAACACATTAGAGACATACAACATAAGCACATTTTATCTTCTAACTTGAAACCAAGACTGACTATTTAGGGACATAATGACAATTAAGCATCACCTCAATCATTGTTCTCGACATTTAAAACTAATTAAGGAATAAAAACTAGCAATTATCAGCAAGCTTATTCACACAACTTGAACTACGGTGGCATATTCACACAACCTGGGGTCGCTAAATCCAGAAAGCTTATTATCAGCAAGGTCAAAACAAACAGTAACAAGATTTAGATAGCACTCAACAAATGAATGAATATTGAAAGAAAATAAGTGATAATCCCAATAACATTACAATCGAACTGAAGAGACCACCTAGGATGTAAAGTTAAGATTCCACTTTGAAATGAACAACCATAAAAAAAGACCCAAATTTCTATTCTTCCAATTACATACTAGTACAGCCAAAGGAAAAACAAAAGGAACACTAGAGAGACTAATGAGTGTGCAAACACTGACCTCCCATATCAGCAGCCATCAGAATCCCATCTTTGTACTTCAAAGCCACCACTGATGTACCGGTCGCGTATGGGTATCTATCCAAAATTTCCAAAACCCGCAAAAAATTCAAAAGGAGAATACCAAACAACAAGAAGCCCCAGTTCTCTTGCACATATATCTACAAACCAACAGGAAGATTGAGAGAGAGAACTTAGAGGGTTCTCTGTGAATCAGATTCAGGCACAACTAGGCCATGCTGGGACATCTTTTCCATATACTGCCATTCAAGAAAAGAGAAAAAGATTCAGACCCAAGTGAAGAAGTTCTTGAATTAGATCAAAAAACAGATAGAAAGGATTGACATTTCTTGGATGAATTAGCTTACACTCATTTTCCTCTGAAGGGTCTCTGATCAATTCGACGAGAGGAGAAGAAGAAGAAGAAGAAGAAGCAGAGCGGATCGCTGAATTGGATCAAGGGAAATAATTCAAGCTCTGGCCTTTCCCGTTGCACAAGTCAAGTTAGCTCCTTTACGAAAACGGTTCCCGTTTTACAGTGAAACCAGGGTTTAAAGTTTGGATTGGGGAATAACATTGTCAGTGAGCCCAAACACCCAAAAAATCATTAAGCCCAAAAACCCAAAGAAAAAATCCAAAAAATGGGTAAACCAAAACCCAAATTGGAAATTATCTTATTATCTTTTTATTTTTTTATTTTTTTTCTTTCGGTAAATCCAAATTGGAAATTGTCTGAAGTTTGGATTGGATTATAAAAATTTAACGCTTGGTTAGTTGGTTTAAGACGGTTGCGGATAACCTTGAACATAACAATTTGCAGGGGTGGGCATTCTGAATCAAGTTGAATTTTTGGTTATTTAAAATAATTTTGCATAAAATTTTTATACTTAATTCAAACTAAAATTTTAATTTAGTTATGATTTTACTATTTTGAAGTTATTTAAATCATTTAGCTAATAATTAAAATAACGAAAGTATATTATTACTTTTTACTTTTTGTCATTAAAATCTTTTTTAAAATTTTGATTTTTTTTGTCTTTTTTTGTATTCCTATCTATAAATTTGACTAAAAGAAGGAATTTTGTCCAAATAAATTTTCATATAGCACAAAACCAAAATAAAGTAAATTTATATTAAAAAATTTCAGATAATTTTTAATCATTTACTTAATAAACTAAAATAACTGAAATATACTATTATTTTTCATTTTTTGTCATTAAAAGTTTTTTTTTTTAATTTTCATTATTGCTAGTCTTTTTGTTATTCTTATATATAAATTTGACTAAAAAAAGAATTTTGTCCAAATAAATTTTCATATAGCACAAAACCAAAATAAAGTAAATTTATATTAAAAAAATTTCAGATAATTTTTAATCATTTAGTTAATTAACTAAAATAAAATATACTATTATTCTTCATTTTTTGTCATGAAAAGCTTTTTGTTTTTAATTTTCATTATTGTTAGTCTTTTTTTATATTCTTATATATAAATTTGACTTAAAAAAAAGAATTTTGTCTAATAAAATTCATATAGCACAAAACAAAAATAAAAAAATAAAATATATTTATATTAAAAAATTTCAGATAATTTTTAATAATTTGGTGATTCATATCAACAATTTCATATATGCATCAATAACTATATTCGAACTAAAATTAATTTTAGTCATTTTGGTTTTATCTAAATTTATCCAAATATTCAAAAAAATCCACTCCAAAATTCAAATATTCAGCTTAAAAATTCAAATAACTTAATAACATCCAAAATGTCTCCACCCTAACAATTTGTATAGTTTTGTTCTCTTTTGTATTTTTCTTTTCTTTAATTTCTCTCTCAAAATAATTGTTATTTTTAAAAAAATTTAAAATTAAGTAATTAAAAACTATTTATATATTTATTTATATTACTTTAAAACAATTAAAAGATAAAATTCGATTTATTGTGAGAAAATAATTTATCAAAATAAATAGTAAATAACAATAGAGTTAATCTAAAAAAAGGATTTATCTACCTTAAGAATTAAAAATGACAATTAATTTAGGATAAATTTAGAATAAAAAATTACAATTATTTTAGAATAGAAAAAATATAGATTTGCAATCTACTATTAAAAAGAAAGTAAAATTACATATATAACAGGGTTTAAATGCTTATTTACTTTAAAAAATTCCAAAAGTTCAAATGAGAATATGAGGTCAATTTAATATAAGGGTTTAGCATGAGATTTTATTGTTATGTTTTTGGAGGATTTTTATCTAATAGTTTAAGTTATAGTTGTATGAATTTAAAGTGCACAACATATTTTTCCTAATTTAAACGAAAAGAAAAAAAAAAAGTGAAAAGTAGAATTTTTACAATTAAAATATCAAAAATATATAACAATAAAATTTTCAACACCCTTAATTTTCACTTTTCTCCAACCAAATATCCTGGACCAATAAATAACCGAAGGTAGAAGTGGAAGTGGGCAAAAACCAACATTTAGTCTTTTATCTTACAAAATTAATAGGTTTTAGCCTTTATTTTATAATATTAATATGATATTTTTAATTTTTTTATCTTAAATTTAGTAAGTTTTAGTCCTTTATCTTATAAAATTGATAAGGTTTAACCCCTCACCTTATATTATGGCATTTTTAACCTTTCATTTATACAAATTGAAGAAAATAACTCCCACATAATATTATGTTATAACATTTTATTAGTTTTGTTAGCTGACTGTTAACATCCGTTAGTATTTCGTTATAAAAAATATGAAATTTAAATTTAATTTTATTTGTTAGTTTCATTAACAGAATGCTAACGGATACTAACAGTTACCTAACAGAACTAATAGTCAGTTAACAGAATTAACAGAATATTATAACATGATATTAAGTGAGAGTTATTTTCTTCAATTCATATAGATAAGGGGTTAAAAATGTTATAATATAAGATGAAAGACTAAAACTTATTAATTTTGTAAGGTGAAGAGTTATAACTTATAAATTTTATAAGATAAAAAATTAAAAATGTCACATTATAAAGTTAAAGTTAAAACCTACGCATAAAAGTTGGTTTTAGCCGTGAAAGTGCGAGGGCAAAATCAATAAATCACAGGAGGAAGTAAGACCGACCCTGTCTTC